CAAATTTAAACATAACTGTTTTGTATCTATCTATTTATTTACTTCCCACCACACATAACAATCTTCTTTGCTGCTAAATACAATGCCATATTTCAGTCTTCATCTCATATAATCTCTCTCTAACTTTTAGAAGTAAAAATTACTCCTTATTTTTGAAAATACTCTCATTTAAAAAAATTTCTATGACACTATACCCTGCTGGTTTTGCCCATATCCCTCCTCTTCTGTTTCTTCCATACTTCCTTTTCTACCTCCCTGTTTTTCTTCCTTCAACATCCTCCCTTGGTTTATTCTGTATGTGTTTGTGTTATTCAGGACTATATAAACACTCTGCACTTTTTACCTGAACAATCTCATCTACCCCTTGATTACAATTACAACATATGTTAGGATGATCCCAAATATATATACAAAGCTGAAACACAATGACTGAACTCCAGACGAGTATATTTACTTCATAGATACATTCACCAACATCTTAAATTCAATTATTCAAATCTGTATTGATTATCTTCTCCTAAAACATACTTATACTTTCACCTTTGTGTGATTTATATATAGCAACCTATTGGAGGGCGATGCAGCCAACCACTAGGGCATATAATCCTATAATTTTCCGACCTGCACTCCCAGTCATCATCCACTATTTTGTGGGACGTTACAAAAACCATCATGTATGGCAGGCTTGCTACCATCTACCCCTTCAGAAAACTGTGTGACAAGAATGTGTTACTGACTCCTTCCATCACACTCTCATCTCAGGTCAATCATCAAATTCTATGGGTTCTTAATCCTCGGTATATTTATCTCATATCCATAATTATTATCACAGGTTACTTTGCCATAACCACTTCTCTAGATTTTCCACTAATCTCTTCACTTGATTTTTTTTGTTTTGTATTTAATAGTAAGTGATTTAAAATAAGACATTTGCCTTTGTTTATTGCCAAATAGTTTATAAATTCTTTATTTACATTTACATTTTTTGGAATGACTTTTATTTTTGAAATATCTTTCTTAAAAGTAAGGCATGTAAAAGGGTTCACCATTCCAGTTGGAAAATACAGAAAGTTGATTACATTTTTTCCCATAAATTGGCATTCTGGTTAAATAAAAAGAATGACCAATTTGTATATCCTGTACAGTTCTAACCTAAGTCTTTTGCAAATGAATAACCATATCTTGTAATTAATTAATTTTAATCTAAGTAATAATTTGAATGCTACATACCTGAATTTCTGAACTGTAAAGTGAATAAATCATTTAAGCATGATCTACACAAATCTACTTTTGATTCTGTGAACAAATAAAACATTCATATTTTGAGGGAACCTCAATGCATGCATTATGCCATTATAAACATTCTTAGTGGGTACTTTGTTTACTTTGACTCTCCGGAGTTTGGTTAGCCCTACTTGTTCTTATACTAAATTTTAAAAAACGATCACATTTCATTCTTTTAGGCCTTCAAACTTCTAATTTTTAGTATAATCTAAAAGTATAATCCTTTGATAATCACATAAAACCATATATTCTGGTAAAAATGTGGGCAGAAAGAACTTCTTAAGCCCACCATTCTGACAATGCTGCTTATTCTAATACTTTCATTGTACTGCAATTTTCATTGCATTAGATATATTTTTAAATAAATGAGCTATTGGCCATGGGTTGGAGATCTTTTTGTTATGTCATGATTTCTTGTGTCAGATTTGTGCTGCCATAGCAGTACTGACAAGCTCATGTGATTTTCAGAGCCCAATTTATAAATTAGTGGTTTGGGCACTGGTAGAATTTATAAGTCAGTGACAAAATTGTATTTGATAAAGTAACAATGATGACTAGTTTTGATATTATTTAGTGACAGATCTATAACATTTCAAAATGCTAGTATTAGACTAATTGTAGTGTTGCTATGACCTGACCTGGTATGCAGTTCCTGGGAGCTCATTTGTAGCTCTTATCCAAAGAAATTTAGTGAAGGCCTGAAAGGGTCTTAGTTATAAGACCATTAAACCTATAATACCTATCCCAGACTGTGTTTGAGTAGGATCGTGATACAGAAAATATTATAATGATGTTGTATTTGTCCTTTTTCTTAGATGTGGCCGTCTTGTATATCATCTTGGTTTGCCTTTTTCCTTCCTAACATTCCCATATGTAGAAGAAGCCATTAAGATTGCTTACTGTGAAAAGAAATGTGGAAACTGCTCTCTCACGGTATTTTTCTCAATTATTTTTCTGGGGAGAAAAGAGGAAATCTTTTAAGAGCTATCTAAATAAGTTAGTGTTTCATGATAAATTAGGATAAATTAATCAATGCTTTTGCAGGTGTACTAAAAGTAAATAAAAATAATTTTTATAATTAAAAATATCCTGTCATCTAACCTCTACTTTAAAACATTTTCTGAAGATTGATGTTGCTACCTTTATCTAGAAGTGCTTTATAAATTAAAAATCAATGTAGATCATATTTCAATTACCACCAAATGATGTTGCATAAGCATAAGTGCTAAAAGAATTTAGTCAACAAACAAAACAATATTATTGTAGTATCCTGAACATGCCAGCACAAGAAGATGGTAATGGCAAAGTTTACCCACAGCATTACTTGGAATGGAACTGGGGTCAGAAACTACTTAATTTTTTGAGGATGTAAGACTATCAGATTTTTCCTGAAGCTCTTCCACTGTCTGCCCATCGGCAGTCTGAGTTTACTTCAAAATGGAATAAGTTTTCTACTCATTACTGGTATTTATTTCCTAAAAACTATGAAAATATTTTTTCCTTGTTATAAGAAGAACTATATTTAATTTTTTTTTTTTTTTTGAGACAGATTCTCCCTCTGTTGCCAGGCGCCAGGCTGGAGTGCAGTGGTGCGATCTCGGCTCACTGCAACCTCCGCCTCCCAGGTTCAAGCAATTCTCCTGCCTCAGCCCCCAGAGTAGCTGGGACTACAGGCACATGCCACCACGCCCAGCTAATTTTTGTATTTTTAGTACAGATGGGGTTTCACCATTTATTTTATTTTATTTTTTGAGACAAGGTCTGACTCTGTCACTAGGCTGGAGTGCAGTGGCACCATCTCAGCTCACTGGCCAGGATGGTCTCAATCTCTTGACCTCCTGAGTTTTTGGGTTCTAAGTTGATTTTGTAAATTTATTTACAAATTAGCCTTAGGTTGAGGTTTAATGTTACATTTCTGTATCTATAGGCTTTGAGTCTCTGACTGGTAGGTACCACAAAACAATAAAGACTTCCAGTAAATTAAAGAGCTAGGATCATGCAGAATGGATAATATGGTCAATGGGAGTCGGGCAGTAATTTGCTACTTTCAGCTGACAGCCTTATAGTAGGGAGACATTAGCAAAGCTTTGGTGAAGTTCAAAACTTTTCCTGGCATAGGATGAAGTATGAAAAACTAACACATTTGAGCAGAGTTTATTAGCATTTTTGAATTATCAGAGATAAATTAATACTAGATTATAGTATCATATGGCATTACATAAGATGAACTGTTGACCTAGGTACAGAAGTTTCCATGTAGATCAACTGATTTTTTTATTTTTATTTTTTGAGACAAGGTCTGACTCTGTCACTAGGCTGGAGTGCAGTGGCACCATCTCAGCTCACTGCAACCTCCACCTTGCAGGCTCAGGTGATCCTCCCATCTCAGCCTCCCAAGTAGCTGGGACCACAGGCATGCACCACCACACCTAGCTAATTTTTGTCTATTTTGTAGAGACAGAGTCCTGCCATGTAACCCAGGCTGGTCTCAAACTCCTGAGCCCAAGCAATCTGCCCACCTTGGCCTCTGAAAGTGCTGGGATTACAGGTGTGGGCTACCATGCCTGGCCTAGGTCAACTAAATTTAGGATTTGATATTAGATGACTTTCCTGCAATCTATGTTCCTTTTGCCAGTTTACTTTATTTGCTTCTGCAAATATAAGTACAGTGGTTTGTCATTCTTTGTAAGCCTTTAATAAAATGTCTAGATGTTAAGACTAACATCAGACTCTTTACTCCTTAATATAATATAAAGGCAACTCTATTCTAATTAACTAGTTGGAATTTCACATACTTTAGGTCTACAAATCATTTTGCAATATTTCTATCTCTATAAACTTGCTAATAGTGATTTATAAATTTGTTCCAGACTCTCAAAGATGAAGACTTTTGTAAAAATGTATCTTTGGCTACTGTGAATAAAACAACTGAAGCTCCACAGCCCCATCACCATCATAAGCATCATCGCAATCATGGACATCAGCACCTTGGCAGCAGTGAGCTTTCAAAGAATCAGCAACCAGGAGCACCAGATGCTCCTACTCATCTCACTCCTTCAGATCTTCATCACCACCATAAGCACAAGGGTCAACATAGGCAGGGTCACCCAGAGAACTGATATATACCAGGAAGTGAAGGTTTACAACATCCACGAAACAAGCTCTGACAAAAGAGATGTATAAATCAATTACTCTGAAAATTGCCCAAAGATTCAGAGTTGGCTCCTAGGAGCTGATGCTGACATTGTCGACATCTGATATTTGAAAAAACGGGGTCTGCAATCACCTGACAGTGTACAGAAAACCTTCCATCTTTATGTAGCTGACAGGGACTTCGGGCAGAGGAGAATATAACTGAATCTTGTCAGTGACGTTTGCCTCCAGCTGCCTGAAAGACAAGTCAGCAGCTTATACCTACAGAAGCCAGTACCAATTGAAGCTGAAAGAATATGGCAAAAAAGTGAGAATGACCTTCAAACTAAATATTTAAAATAAGACATACTCCCCAAGTCAGTCTAGATACAATTTCATTTCCATCATTTTTATAAACCCTCAAATTAGTGAACCAAAAATAGAAATTGGATTTGTGCAAACATGAAGAAATCTACTGGATTGGCTTCCAGATTTTAAATTTTATGTCATAGAAATATTGACTCAAACAATATTTTTTATAATGGGGCAACTGAAAGGTGATTGCAGCTTTTGGTTAATATGTCTTTTTTTTTTTTTTCTTTTTCCAATGTTCTACTTGCTTTAATGAGAACAGAAACATAAACTATGACCTAGGGGTTTCTGTTGGATAATTAGCAATTTAGAATGGAGGAAGAAAAACAAAGACATGCTTTCCATTTTTTTTTTTTTTACTTATCTCTCAAACAATATTATCCTTGTCTTTTCAATCTTACATTTTTAACTAAATTTAAAGAAAGAAGTAGATACTTAACACATGAATATTTTGCTAAAAAAGCATATATATTTTAAATGTCCATTTATCTTTTTGGATATCGAAAACTCATATCTTGCTTTTACTATCACACATGAATAAAGCCTTTGTATCCTTCTTTCTCTAACATTGTATCACACTCTTCTAAAACTTGATTGGCTGTCTTGAAAGATATAAGTGGAAAGGTAAAGAATATTGTCTGTCTCTGTTTTGCTTGGTAAGTATTTCCATAGTCAATGATGGTTTAATAGGTAAACTAAACCCTATAAACCTGACCTCCTTTATGGTTAATACTATTAAGCAAGAATGCAGTACACAATTGGATACAGTATGGATTTGTCCAAATAAATTCAATAAAAACCTTAAAGCTGACTCTTTTTGTGATGTAGGCTGTATGCATATGTTGAAATTAAAAGTGAAATTTTCAGTTGCTTTTAAGTAAAATGCCAACTAATGAATTTACTGCTAAGCTCAAAACCGTCTACGCTTAAGGTGAGAATCTTTGCCAACAGAAAGGCGTTGCTCTAAATCGCGAATGGTATTACGAAGAATTGCAATCTCTTTGTTTTTTTCTTCTTGAATATGTTGCAGTTTCTAAATGAAACAAAAAATTTGTTATTACAATTCAAAAGTAAAATTTAGTACAAGGAGCAACAAAATAATAATAAAGAAATACACTTCTGCTATAAATTGGAATTTTAAAAATACCTTATTGTTAATAAGAATTAGATGATTTTTATAGAAACATGCTTAGAAAATTTTCTTAAGCAACAAATCATGGGAGAAAAACTCACATACCCTTCTGTAGATACTCTGTGGCAAAACAGTAGAATCTGGATATGATTTTGATTTAGTCTGAACTCTTGCTAGTTTGGCATCAAACTGAATCAAATTTAAAAAGAAAGTTATTGAAGCTCTAGACAATTAGAAACAATTTTTTCAAAATCCATGATATCTTTTGACATGCAAGCTGTAATTTAGGTGTATTCTCTGTAATAACAGACAATAGAAAAATTCTGCTTTAAGAAACAATTTTTCAGAAAGAGCAAAGGACACACATACAAGATTAATCCTGACTGCATGGTAAAATTACCTGGGTAGGTTTTTTTTGTTTTTTTTTTTTTTTTTTTTTTTTTGGTACCAAATGCCTGGGCACTATAGAGATTCTGGTGTGTAGCTGGCATCATTTTTTTCTCAAAACATGATTCTATAGTGCAGCCAGGGCAGAGAATCTAGTTTAACTTAAAGATAGGTAAAAATATTTTTACACTAAAATGAATATATTATAAAGAAAAATGTAATCAATAGTCAGGAGAAAACCTCACATATCTTTCTGCAGGAACTTTGAGGCTGAATGGTAGAATTTGAATACCATCTTGTCGATTTAATTTGAACTCTTGTTGGTTTGAATTAACCTGAATCACGTTTAAAAAATTCTCATAGGCCATTCTTATAGGCCAAATTTTTCATTTTTGCACAATATTCCATTTTAACTTCAGATTTAGTTAATATAGCCTCTCTGAGGACTAAAATTAAGCTCTGAGATTATGTTCTGGTTTGAGGAGAGAAATGGTTAGGTACAATAAAGACAGATAACAAGGTGCTCTGTATACTAGTTAAATAATAGGTAATAAGGCCCAAATGGCAAACAAAATGCAAATTTCCAAACAGAGGAGGATTAGAAGTTGGCGGTAGATCTTGAAACAGGCCCATTAATTTCAGTTGGCCATTCAGTCTGTCTTGTGGTTTGTGGTACACTTGGCCAGATGGCAGCAGCAGCAGCAGCAGCAGCAACAAAGGGCATCTAAATTCAACATCAGCTCTCTTTCTGCCCAATGATTACACATGGTGCTTCACCAAGTACCCCAGGGATTCCAAAGTTTCAGGAATATGAGTAGTATGCGATCTTAACTAAGATCTGTGAGTTCTTACAACACAAGGTAAAATGAAAGTTGGAGTGGGGGAAGTGATGGAAGAATGATGTAAGGGTAGCTTGATATAGTCTAAAAAAATTTAAAGGACAAATATTTTGTCAAAGTACCTGTGAGATTACGATATCTGGTTAAATGAACTACTCAAGATATTTGAGTGAAGAGCTAGAGCCTCAGCCTTTGAGATGTCCTATTTGAAGTCCCTTTAAAAATATTTTTTAGGAATTTGGTTTGTTTGCCCCTGAGATATATATGTTTCCAGAAAGATATTAGGAATAAATTTGTCTTTCTTATGAGAATTAAAGCAAAAGAAATTTCTAGTTGGTTTACTGGGATTCGACAAAATGCTGCTGGGATGAGAATAATGTGAAGCATTAGAAACATTCTTCCCATGCTGGAATGGTAGAATTATGAAACCTGCATAGAATTTACTGTAAAATGCAGATAATCTCTGAATTTTCTGTCAAGGAAATGTAGTGCTAAAAACACAATAGCTAAAAAGAAAGTTTCACTGTATTGGTTTAATAGCTGATCAGTTACACTGAAGATAAAATTAGTAAGCTGGAGAATAGGTCAGAAGAAAATATCTACCCTGAGACAGGGAAAAGCAAGAAAATGACATATACAGAAAAGAGCATATGAGGTATAGGAGCTGGTTGTAAAGTCTGTGAAAGGCTGTTGTCTCTCATCTAGTGTTGGGCCTAAAGTTGTTGCAGTTAAAAAGAAAAGTTAGATGTCAAGTGGGAAATACTAAGAACAAAAGTTCTCAGAGAAACAAAATCTTCTCTAAAAACCAGGACGTTTTGAATAACTGAAGAGTCTACCTTCAGGTCAAGTGCTGAAAGGCAATGCAGATGACAGTTATATGGTGTGTGATTACAGCAATCATTTGATGGAGAATGAGCTTGTGTGAAGTCCTCTTACAGAATTGCTTCTAATCCTAAAATGTATCTTATTGTGGTGAAAAACAATCAAAGTACAGTTTAGGGGATGTGTCCTCAAGTTTGGCAAACTATTAAACACCTACCTCTAGTTGTAGCTTGATTATTTCATTTTGTTTTTCTTTTTCTTGATTTCTTAGCTTTGCATTTAACTCTGAAATTTCCATCTCCTTTTTCCCTATTAGTTCTTTGTGCTTTTCTTCATTTAATTCAACTGAATAAATGAAATAAAATTCATTCATTAAAAATTTCAAAAATATTATAAGCTTGAATTTCCTTGGTATTTTAAATAATTCCTAAGAAAGTAAATTTTATTAATGAAACATATTTTAGAAATGGTTTATGTTTAGAATAGCTTTTCTGTATTTTTTTTACAAGACCCTGAATAATGTTGGAGACACAGAGGTCACTTGCCAAATCTTTTTGAATGAATAAGGTAATTTAAATGATTAAGCATCAATGGCCTAGAAAATAAATGGGAGATACAGTGGTTGAAGAGGGATACAAAGCCTGAGTTTCTAGGTATGAAGGGCTTAAACTACTGGATGTCTCCAGAGCTACATAAAACCCCTGCCATACTATTCCATATGATCAGGCCATTCTCATGTTCACATCATGTCTTTATGCTTTATCAAATTTCTTCTTCTCCCAACTTTCTTATTCCTGTTAATGACACCATGGTATCTAGGATGAGAGGCTCAAGAAAATCTTTGATTTTTAATGAAAAAGGAGACAATCAACAAGCGCTACAATGAAGGGCTTCCTAGCTTCCTGATATAGATATTTAGGTAATAAATTTGTAGATTTCTCCATGACTTATATTTAAGGCTATTAAGTCTATCCATAAACACAGCTTTAGTACAAATTTTGAAATGTAATGTTTTTTATATAATTCAGTTCAAAATATTTCCCAACTTCCTTTGAGATTTCTACCTTGATCCACAGGTTTATCAGAAATAATTTCCAAATATATAGGGATTACCAACTTCTCCTTAATTGCAATTAAGATCCTACTCTGTATGATTTAAGACCTTTGAAATGGGTTGAAATTTGCTTTTTCATTTATGATATGGTCATCTTTCTTAAATGTTCCATGCATACTTGAAAATAATATGTATTCTGCACTTATAGGGTATATTATTTATGTCAATTAGTATCAGTTGTTAGCTTTGCTGTTTAAGTTTTCTATATCATTACTGATTTTGCATATTTGAATGTACTTTTCTACCACCAAAAGGTGAATTCAAGTCTCTCGTTATGATTGTGGATTTGTCTGTCATCTACTAATTCTGCTAATTTTATTTGGTACATATAAATTTAGAATTATTTTCTTACCCTAGTAAATCAAACACTTACATCAGAAAATATCCATCTTTTGCTCTAGTATTGCTTCTTGCTTTAAAGTATACTTTGTCCAATATTAATATAGGTATGCCACCTTTGTGTTGGCTACTATATACATGGTATATCATTTTCCATCTTTTATTTAAATCTTTCTTATATTTTATATTAATATGTAATATTTATTTATTTATTATAAATTATTCAGAGTCTTTCTTATATTTTATATTAATAATAATAGCTTTATATTTTAGGTATATTGAAAGCAGCATATTAGCAGATTTTAATCTTTATTCAATCTGACAATCTTTGTCTTTTAATTGGAAATTAAAGTTTAATTTAATGCATTTAGTAATATATTTGGGTTTAAATAGACTAGCTTATTATTTGCCGGCTTTTACATTTTATGCTCATTTTTCTCTCATCTTCATTTGGACTGAATAACTATTTTTACTTCCCTTTTTTCCTCTTCTATTAGATTCATAGTCATTAGCTTGAAATATATTTTTTTATTCTTCTTTAGTGGTTATCTTAGAGTTTATAACATGCATATTTGACTTATTAGAATTTAATAAAATTAGTATTTTTATCACTTTATGGACATTATGCAAGTCTTAAAAACATTTTAACTCCATTTATTCCCCCTTCTATCTTTGGTGGTTTTGTACTATGTCAACTTAGCTAAATTAGAACTATGTTTCCCACAATTCCCTTGTCTATACGTTTCTAAGTTAGAGTTAGCTATGAGACATCTCCACAAGACATGAAACATGGAAGTATAGAAAGAACTAATTTCCGCTGATGTTTAGTATAAGATGCTGGGTAGTGTTTCAGTTCACACATGGTGTTGCTGGTTTTCTGGCTCACCAAATCAGCAGCTATTATTTTTTGGAGGTCAGTGTAGAGCCCAGGCAATGCTGCAATTCATACAAGTTGTCACATATCAATGGATCATCTCACCGATAAGGAAAATCATTTGGTTCCACAGCTTCTTAAGTTCCCACCAGATTTCTTTTTTAATCTGCTAGAAGTCTCAGGCCAGGTGTCCTTAAAGCTCAATGGCATAGGGCACCATCTTTTCCTGTAGGTTGTCATGTCATTAAGGTTGGAGGAGGTACAAGAAAGATGCAAATTCCAGTTCGTTCTCAGTATTTCCCACTTGACATCCAGCTTTTCTTTTTAACTACAGGCCTTTCTGACTGCAGCGACTTTAGGCCCAACACTAGATGAGAGACAACAGCCTTTCACAGACTTTACAACCAGCTCCTATATCTCATATGCTCTTTTCTAAGAGCTAAGATCAAAACAAACAAACAGACAAAAAAACCAAAAAAATTTCCTCAAGTCCTTTTTTTCTTTGATTATGTTAATCAGAGCCATTGTAAATTAAATATCTGATAATGCCATTATCTGGATCATAAATGAATTTATATTTATTCCCTTTTAAAATATTTATAATTGAGGTTGCTTAGGTTTTTGTATTTTTAAAGTCAGATTTACTGCAGCATAATTCATATATAACAAAATCTCTTTTGAGGTATACAGTTTGATGAGTTTTGAGAACCATATATAAGAATCTAACCATCACTTCAATCAGGTAAAAGTTTTCTGTCACTTTAAAAGGATCCCTTTTGCCCCTTTACAATCTATCCTTTTGCTCGAATACTGGCAAACATTGATCTGATTTTTGTCATTATAATTTTCTCTTTTTCAGGAATGTCATATAAACAGAATCATATAGCATGTGGCCTTTTGTGTCTGGTTTCTTTCATTTAGCATATTGCTTCTGAAGTAATCATATTGTTGAAGGTATCAGTAGTTTGTTCCTTTTTATTGCTGAATAATTTCCATTATATGGATGTACTATGATTTGTTTATTTATGTTAATGGATTTGCTCAGTTCCAGGTTTGGGCCATGATGAATAAGGTTTCTGTAAACATTCACAAGCAGGTCTTTGTGCAGACACATGGTTTCATTTCTCTTGGGTAAATACCCAGGGGTGGGAATCCTGAGTCAGATGGTGTATAATGTGGTGGCCATGAAAATGAGCCTCTCAGATCTCAAAAATCCTAATTGATCACTTGCCCCAGCTTCTGCACTTGAAAATCCATTACTGTATTTAAGCTGAGGCCATGCTTCTATGGTTGCAACTAGTCAATGACAGGATATGTAAGGAATACTACTGTGGGCCAATTTTTGGGAGATGTGGGATTCATTCACAGGTGAATTTGGATCAATGACTCTCCAGTGCCTTTACCTAACTTAGGACTGCACTGTAGCCTAAGACTTTTAAAAACCTAATATTTATTTCTCTCTTTCCTTCACAGAAGTTAGACCTACATTATGGACTGACAGCTTACCTGGCCTTTTCTAATTCCCTCCCCATTTCTTCTCATAAGCATTCCCACTACAATACATCTCTTGAATGTCTAATCCTATCTTGGTGTTTCCTTCTTTAAGGACCTGAACTAGCACAAAATAACAGATATAACGGGGTTCTGAGATTGGCTCACTTACCACTTTGTGGGCAATGAAGAAGCCATCCTTAGTGGTATGTGGAGTACTGGTAGTTCCTATAATTACTACAGATTTCACCAGAAGTAATCTGGGAAAATGTCCTGATGGTGGGGAATGCCTTGCCAGTATGATAATTAAGACATTTGAAATATCAATGGAAATAATGCCCACAAAGGCAATAGAGTTATCTGGTTACTGCTAAGTTCAATTGACATTCTACTAAAGGATCATGAGAAATTGAGGGCTGTTAGCAAAAAGTTACAGAATTAAAGAATAAATGTGAGAGTGAGAGATTCCTTTGGTAGCTTACAAACATACTCTTACCTCGTGTTTGTGTTTGTAATGGAACATCAAACACAGCTAAGCAACAGAAAATCTAATAGAGTTGAAGAACTGCAGAGATGTTTAAATGCCTAGCTAAAGCAGGTCTACTACGATAAATTTTGGACCCTGGTTGGAAAGACTTGAGATCCTGAAGAATAGGATGAAAACATGTGGATGGATGCCTCTGAGGATGCTAGCTCTAAAGATTTCTCTAAGGCTTTGAAGTCTGAAAAGGTGGCCGACTCTTTCCTGGTAAGAGCTAGCAATACCCCTGTGCTGAAAGATGTAGAGGCTCCTCTTAGAAGTTGCCTCTATCTCCTCTTTTGGCTGCGAGGCCAATAACTAGGGTCAAGACCCAGCATAACTTGGCTGGGAGACAAGCGATTATATCTAAAAGTATCTGGAAGAATGATCTAGGTTGTATTGGTAAGAGTTACGTGAGTACACCCCCTGAAAACAGATTTTGAGGCTGCTGGATCAAAGAAGACAGAAAGTAAGACCAGGTAAGCAAGAATTCATTGACTCAGCATTACTCTTTAGGGGCAACAGACATAATATCCTAGCAAGGGCCTCAGGAGATGGAACAAATGATCTGCTAGAGTGGCCTCAAACCTCTAAAGAAAGCAATGACCAAAGCTGAGTGAAGTGGAAATATCTGAGCTGCCTGACGGATTGTAAAGAAAGAAATAAAGAGGCTGTAGGAAGTTGTCATGCTAGTATGCATACATTACATGAGGTAGGACAACCTGCAAAAAGATTATTTTCTTCAAGAGGGCCCAGAAGACACTCTACTAGCCAAGGCCACCAGCAATGTGCTGGTGAGAGGCAGACAAATATCACAAAAAGTTTGGTGGTCAGTCTCCTTTGCAAGCTAGGGTTGACAGTAAAATAGGCTGTCATCGAGCTAGGTCCATTAATATCCATGGGGATGGGATTCCTCTCCACCACAAAGTAATAGAAGCCAGATGATAGTGCTCAACTGCCAAATGGCAGGAGGACACAATTACCAAATTACCAGGAAGGCTGAAGAG